GAATCCCTCCTCTTTAATGTTGGGAGTATATTTGAAGAGTCCACAGATGAATCCATGTGCGATGCCCCATGGGCAGGGACACAAAAGGAACCTCAAGTAGCTACAGACATGCGGGGAACCAAGGGCACCACTTAGCCTCAAATACAGCTATTTATTTAATGAGACAAAATAAATACCAGATCATGATAAAAAAAGATAATGCTCTTCACTTTGTATTATCTAGGAAATTGCTTGGGGAAATAGCACAAAAGAAAGCCAGATAACACAGTTTTTAATTCCAGCTTTGTCAATGTTACCAATCTGAAACAACTTGTGAACTCTGTACCACTACACGTAAATAACATGTAAATATAGGAGAAATCCATTATTTTTATAGAATTGAGAACCAGTCCAAAACCAAGTCACTTTCATTTGTGTTGATTTTTCCTCCTCTGTACTACAAACGTATTGGGTTGGCCCAAAAGTTCATTCGGGTTTTTCCGTAAGATACAGAAAAACCTGAATGAACTTTTGGGCCAACCCAATACAAGTAGGAATAAAATCAAAGGGAATACAGAGATTTTTAAAGGGGTTGGTCGCTCTGGCCAGTTCCTCTTTTCCTGGCAAAGAGAGTTCCCTTGACTAACACCTGGATTTAAACATTTCACTAACGGCAAAATAACTTGTTTGCAGGTAATGCTAGATCAACTATGTATAAATACATACATTGAGAGGGACATGGCTGCTTTATGGTATCAAATGTAACTAAAGTTCTTATAGAAACCACAGTTAGTCTTTGTTGGAATAACAAAAGGACAGCAGGACATTAAGAAGATAAGAGAGGTGAGGTAGTTGGCAGCTAAAAATAGATGCTGTTTCCTTTCAAAAAAGCAAAACAAAGGTAAGAATGGAGAAAGACACTGCAGCAGTAACAGCCTAGGGGTTCGGGTGAGGGGCCGACAGTAGTTTTACTTTTAGGTTCTGCTAACAACTGGCATGAATTACCTTGGAGTAGAGTTCAAACCATAATAACCTAGCACATTTTCCCTCTAAGAGGATTATTGAAGTTTTACTGAAAACCTTACCTGTTCATAGCATGCTGGCTATTCTGTCTTTAGAGTCTCAGACCCAAAAATGAGGCAAAAAGAATTTTTTTTTCAAGAAAATCACTTTGATATTAGGCAGGAAGATAAAAAGTCAATTCATATGGCTTTACACTCGTTTGTGATTATCAAAATAAAGTGAAAACAGTTGATTTCTGAGGCAGACATTCTCTGATACCTTATTCTCCAAGCCTTAGAAATTAGAACCAGCTGTCTGGGTTTGGTTTGGGAGCTTGTTTGTGTAACTTCTTGGTGGAAGAACTTAATTTCTGAAGCTCATCTTTCCAACAGTTTTTGCTGCCTACAGGGCTTGTGAAGGTGCCAGGCTGAGCCGTGACATGGAGGCCAGTCGCTCTGGAGCGTCCCAAACTTGCAGTGGGAGTTTGTGTGAATGAAAAATAAATGCTTGCTCTTTTAGGCCATTGGAATTTGGGGATTGCTTAGCTTTTCATCTGGTTCTTCAGGGGTCACCGCTAAAATCCTTAAAATCTAAATCTTAGTAGAGCCTTGGTTTAGAGAATAAGCAGTAAGGAAAATTATATTACAAACTGGAAAGATGGCAAGCCATATTATGAAATAGCAAATTATTTGGTAAACAATCATGTCTCACAATTTTTGAGACAATTCATGTACCTCATCATATTGTAGCTCTACAGAAAGTAATTGGAAAACAGAATGTTAAAAGCATGAGTTGGTTATTATTGGATGCATCTCACAAAGTGCTTTAAGAGATTAAATGCTCAGAAAAGAATTTACATTTGTAAGAAGGAAAAAAAGGGAATAGAGAGAGTCCAACAGGCAACAGCCCCTCATACCCAGCTGTGTTTTAAACGCATCTGTACGCTATGATCAGAATAGATACTAGGTGGCTGGTAAGCCAGGAAGGAGGGAGAAAAATCAGGAGCCAATGGGAGTAATTCTGGAAACAGATGAGGGTACTCACACTGAGGTGTTAATGGAAGAGGTACTGAGAAGGGGTCAGATTCTTGATGTAGTTGGAAAAATAGAGCTAATTGGGTTGCTAATGGATTGCATGTGTGCTGTGAGGGAGAGGAGACAAGCAGGGCAGCAAGGTTTACAGCACTGAAACTGGAAGGATGGGATTTCCATATGCTAAAATGAGAAGCCTGTTGAAAGAGCAGGTTTGGGGGACTAGGTATTTGTTTGTTTGTTTGTGGAGGATGAATTCAGTTTCTGACCGAAAGGTTAAGATGTCTATTTGCCATCCAAGTAGAAACGTCAAGAAGACCTAGAATTTGGGGCAGAAGTTGGGAATTGTCAGTTTACGTGTGGTGTTGGAAAGCCTTGAGGTCTCCAAGGAGTGAGTGTACACACGGATGTGGAAGATGCCCATGGACAAGGTACGGTGGCCCTAAACTGTTAGCAGAGAAGATATCAGAGACTGAGTTCAGGTTCCTCACAACTAGATGATATCCCGAGGCAAGCGAGCTTGCCCAAGATTGCACAATGTCTGTGGGCTAAAGCACAGAGACTGCCTTTGAAGCCATAACTCCAGGGCTTTTTTACTTCATTCAAAGCACTACATACACACACACACACACACACATACACACACACAACATACACACGTGCATACATACACACATATGTGTATACACATATATGTATATGCATATATTCATGTGTGTGTGCACACGTGTATGTGTGTGTATCTAACTGGTTTCTAAATACCTTAAGAATCAACTTGCCCTGAGTGACCCTGCAACAACAGGCTGCAGACTCTCAGGTCCTTGATTTCTTTATAAACTCAATATAGAGGCTAGAATCAATAATACCTAAAAATACCGAATTTTCCTTCCAGGACTAAAGAATAAGATATCTATTTTATATTCCAGCACTGGCTTCAGAGTTCAATACAAGGATAGGATTTGTACCCTTAGCAAATAACACTCTTTGGATCACCATAAACATGTCACGAAGCCTGATTTGGCTCAGCAAATCAGCTACTAATGACCCTGCTTTTCCTGCAGTGTTTTTTCCTGATACCAGGAAAAGCATTCTTCCTAACGTTTCAAGATTCCCCACACTCATGTTTTAAGATGTTTTTGCAAATTGTCCTGTACTAGTTTTAAGATTAGATTTCCATTTCAGTACTCATGTTGCAGTTTAATGAAAACTAAATCCTCTTACAAATCATGTGTCAACAGTCCAAATACCACCATGGCTGCACGTAACCAACCCAGAAAGATAAGTAAAGTATATGCTCCTACAACTCAGTCAAACCGCTAACAGCACCTCGTAGATGATACGCTCTGATAGGTAATTAACGTTACTTGGAAGATCTCAATCTTAAATCTTATCTTTTTGCTAACAGACTCCCTCACAATAAAATTGGAAACAGAATTCAGAACTAAAGGAGACATTTTAGTCACTCCTTCTCTTGCTGTTCATAAGAGATGTGTTTTTCTGTGTGCCAGTTCAGTATATGTTTGGCTTAATGTACCTGGATATCAGTAAATCCAAACACAAGTGTATTTTTCATTAGCCAGGACGCTACCTGGAGATGCCCAGGCTTCATTTACAGTTATCCACCCAAGCAGACCAAGGCAGAGTCCATCCAGTTATGTTGGCTGTCCTGTATTTAAATCCCCCTTTATACACTGTTTGCCATGAACACTGCTGTGCTGGAATCAGTGGCCTAGAAATGCACATCCATTACAAGCAAGCTGAAATAAGCAAACCTCACTTGTACCCTGTACAGTAGTTGTTGGTGGTATGTGCCCAATGTACTCATGTCCTAAGAAGAAAATGGGATGTGAACATCCATTTATCTCAATTCCAGGCTCCATTAAGGTAATTATAAATCAGTTCCCCTGGTGTGAATGGAATACACGATGCTCAAAATGATGCTCATTTTGGGGAGACATTATATTCATTTATAACCACCCCATCCACATAAAGAAAACATCCTTCCTCTCATTAGTCTGAGAAAAAAAGCTGTCAAACTCTCCCTCAGTTGAACTAGTGGAAACATTTTACTCTAATACACTGTCTTGGTGTTTCCACCTTTAAAGCTTAAATATTTTCCTGCTATGTGCATTCATTCACTGCTGGCATCCACATCCTTGTGTATCTCTTTGTCATATCGGGGTCATGGCCGCTAACCTTTTAAACAATCTACAGAGATGCAGCAAGTTTGGAGAAACAAACGGATACAGCAGGTAAACAGGAACTGAGAAGTTCATTTTCTGTGAGCTAGTGAAATCCATGTAATGCTTCATTTCCCTTTTACTATTCTCAATCATGTATTTTACATATCAAACACAAACTGGTTTGCTGCATTTCTCTGGTAGCTGGAAAGAAGTTAATATACAAATTACTCCATTATTTCACTGCCTTCGCCTATGTCTCTAGGGATTGATCCCAGGAGATTCAATTCTGGGAATGTTACTAGATGTGGTCCTAAGAGGAACAATCATCCACGGTCTCACTTTGTGTGTTTGCCTTTTTTCATTTTATAGACAAGCTAATCCACAAAGAAAAACTCCTTCAGAAATGAGTGAGCTTTTTCCATGGACCCAGTAGTGTCCTGTAGCATTTTAAAGACATTAAACCCTTGGCTTCTTTTTATTATGATTTAATCTTATACATATGGAATTAGTACCTCCATTTAATTCTAGTGTCTTAAAGATATTTGGTCATTTTGTTCCCATAATGTCTTCTTCAGTGCAGAGCGTTGAGTAGGGGTTACATAAATATTGAAAGAATGAAGGAATGAGAGAGCAAATGAGTGAACAAATTGTGTCTTTGTTGACTTCTGGGATGTTCTATTTCTCGTTTTCTTCAGAGAATACTCTGCTTTATTCACTGGTTTTGTATGTGTGTGTGTCTGTCTGTGTGACTGTGTGCATGCGCACACACATATATATGTAAATTATTTCACATTTTTGCCTCCTGCTGTAGTCTGTTTCTAATCTGCAAGACTCCGTGCATCTTCTCTTGAGTGGCAGCTTGCCAGCATCCTCATCCTCAGCCCTGGTTCCAACCAGCCCCTTCTAGAGTCACTACTCATCTTCTGCACAGGTTCCAAAAGCAGAGGAAGCCAAGTCCTGGATAACTGGAGATTCAAGTACAGTATGACATGAACTCTTAGATAAGGAGAATGAAAGCACTGGAAAGAGCAAAAGATGGCTATAAAAATAGTTTCTATATGACTTTTATTAGTATAGCAGTCATCACTATACTAATACTTTTCCATTGTATAGCCTTTTTATCTCCAAATTATTTTTGTAGACCATCCATTAATTAACACTCACAGTGTTTTGAGTCATATCACTTGATTAATTTTGTGCTGCCTTGAAAATTGTCATATAAACTAAATACTGGAGTTTCACCAGCCATATTTCTGAAGCAATTTGAGCCAAGTCTCAAGTTCTCACTTCCAGAATTTCATCGCTATTAATAGAAGACATGCATCACAAGAGTGGAGTCGGGAGAGAAGACACACTTCTATTCTGCATGTGTCAAAACCGGATTCAGAGTCCTTTAAAGCAATGAAAAAGGACAAAATGCTCAGGTGTGAAAATTTAAAACATTTTTATTCTCAAACAAATACGAAAGGCTCTTTTCCTTAAAATGTAAGGAAAGGAATATAAATTTTTAATCTTATTTTCAGATAACTATTCCATAATAACAATTATACATTAACTTCCAAATGTCTTGCCCGCCCCCTACCATGTAATAACCACATTTAATTAAAGTTGTTATTTATTTTTAAATACTTTTTTTAAGAAATAGAAACATGAACCCAACAAATAAATAGCCAAATTTGGATGATTCGAATGTGTTTGGGATGTTGACAATCTATTTACATTTTAATAAGATATTTCCTCAGTGCAGGTATTAGATAAATCTCCACAGAGCTGGGGCTAGGACACAGAATTAAGAAGAAAGAAGCGCCCTTGGCAATTTGGAGAAAAGGAAAGATAAGCAGAATGGTGTTTAATAGAAACAGATGTGGATGTAATCTCTTTAGGAAGAAAAAAAGCTGTACAAATATAACATAAGAGATGGGGAAATGGCTTTAGACACAAAGAATGGAAAAACCTGGGGAGTTCTGAGAAACGCAAGCTCAGAATGACTTCATGACTCAGACTCTCTTCCAATTCACAGCCTAACAACGGGTGTGATATGCGGATAACTTAAAGAAAGACATGGTGTTAAGCGCAAGATGTTATTTATAAGAAAGATTAACACGAGTTTCTGAAGTGGCAATGGAGGGCTGAAAAAAGGAGGATTAATCAGCCTAAAATGTATACATCATATATATAGTCACAGATATATATGCTGGTTGGCACGTCTCTAATCTATGACCAGTGACAATTGTTTTCTATTCCAGCAAGAAGAATTTGAGTCAACCTTAAGGAAAACCTATTGACCAAAGGTAGAACATTAAAATATGTTAATGGAGGCTTCCCTGGTGGCGCAGTGGTTATGCAGGGCACATATGCAGGGACATTTCCTGGTCCGGGAAGATCCCACATGCCACAGAGCAACTAAGCCCGTGCACCACAACTACTGAAGCCTGTGCACCTAGAGCCCGTGCTCCACAACAAGAGAAGCCACTGCAAGGAGAAGCCTGCGCACCACAACGAAGAGTAGCCCCCGCTCGCCGCAACTAGAGAAAGCCTGCGCACGGCAATGAAGACCCAATGCAGCCAAAAATAAATAAATAAATGTATAAAATATGTTAATGGGAGTCAAGAATTCTATTAACTCCTTTTTCTTTTAAAAATGACCACCTGTACTTGTGCAATGCTTTGCATAGCTTGCAGGAGTATAAAATAGGTTTAGACTTACAATCCCACCATCAGCTGATAAACGGTTAACAGTTAAGTGATAAGGAGAATTTTGTGGCAAGTTGGGTAGGAGAAAATGTCTCCCGGTACACATTGAGTCAGAACAGCACTCCCTCACTCTTCAAAGATATTCTCTCCACCTCTGAGAAAATATTTCCATTCCTTATGTTTTATGTTGTCCTCAATTTTAAGGAATTGAGACTCTGTGACTCCTCCACCTTCCTCCTTAAAGAAAATGAAATGAACAGAGATGCTGTCACGGAAAACCTTTACTGGGGAGGACTCAGAGACACAGGTATCCAAATCTGCCTTCCTAAAAACAAAAAATAAAAAGTAGCAATTCTGACTCCTCTAAACCTTGATCCTTCACCCCTACATCTCAAGCTGGAACTTGGACAGAACTCTAAACACACTTCTCAAAGCCACACCACATCACTGATAGTCATTACAAAATACTGTGAACAGTATTACAGTGAATCAACTAATCTAAGGCTGTGATTGCTTTAAATAATTCTCCATAAATGTTAAGTAAAATTTCTCCACCAATAAATGTGTTGTGCATAGTTGTGGCTATAACGTGATACAAAAAAGCAGCATCCTTCAGCTAGTAGAGTCACAGGGAGAGTAGCAAAGCAGCACAATGTAGGATACGTTCTCCATCTGAATCCACCAGTAAGCTACGCTTTCTGCCTCTTAATGCAAGAAAAGAGTCTTTAGAAGAGGAAGACAGAAGCAGGGCCAAGCCAAACTGAAACGTTTCCTGAGCTAACAAGTAAAGGATCAGCATTTTGTGATGCATATTATAGATCAGCAAAGACATTGGTATAAACAAATTTTTTTTAAATATTTATTTATTTGGCTGCGCCGGGTCTTAGTTGTGGCGCGCGGGATCTTCGCTGAGGCATTTGGGATCTTTTAGTTGCAGCATGCGGGATCTTTAGTTGCAGCATTGGAACTCTTAGTTGTGGCATGCATGTGGGGTCTAGTTCCCTGAGCAGGGATTGAACCCGGGCCCCCTGCATTGGGAGCGCGGAGCCTTAACCACTGGACCACCAGGGAGTCCCGACAAATTTTTTTAATCATTCATCAAGTTAACTTTAAGTATAAGTAGATTCAGAATAAATTCTCTACACATGATAATTATTATTATGATTAGTATTGTAAGAAGGTTCACAAACTCTAAAGAAATTATTTCAACATCATCATAAAATCTTGCATTAAAAACTTCATCCATGCTTTTTAAAATAGACAGTGGATGTTATCTATGATAAAGTGAGATACGGGTACCCAGGGTGGACCAAACTAGGCAAAGAGCACCTTTTCTAAGATCTGTATTAACAGCAATTCTCTCTCTCATATAATTTTTTTTCTTAAATATTCTGAGTTGCTTTGAGCAGGTCTTCCTATTTCCATGGCAGTTTATTTAATTCATGGTATTGTATATCTGCTGTGCCTAGCACTTCCTACCTACGCCTAAGCTAGGTAGGAAAAGCAAAGGGCATTTCAGAGTCTACCCACAAGAGCCTAGATGGAGACACCTCAAACACACACAAACACACACCAGTAGTGTGCGTGGATGTAATAATCCAAGTGTAAGGACACTACTTATGCCTTGGGGGATAGAAGTAGGAATGGGAAGCGTTCCTTGGGTAAGGCACATTGTAAAACAAAAGGCAGGAGGTGGGGCAAGAGGAAACAGAGAGATCAAAGGAGACTTCTGTGACCCCTGTGACCGGAAACAGGAGCCGCCGCACTGGGGGAAGAGGTAACAAGGTTGGTTTTGGACATCATTAGTTAGTGGCTGGACAAGGAGCTACCACCCAGGGGCCTTGTGCTGCCGTTCTCTGATCAACTGTAAGCTCTGAGCTGGGAGCTGAGAGGCGCCTGCAAACAGAGGAGGAGTGCTTGAAGCCATGAGTGTGTCAGCCCAGTGGGTTTGTTATGTCACAAAACGAGACATCACGGCATCGTTGCTACCACATAAAGAGATTTTCCTTCGTGTTTACACAGTAGGGAAATCTAAACATTTAACGCTTGACTGCATATGTGCGACATCATGCACCTTGGATTAGCCTATTCAAGAAACTATCATTTCCAGTTGCAGCTCTTTTCCACTCCTTCCTCTCTGTTTGCAATAATAATCTCATTCTGAAGCTCACCCCCAGAACAAGAGCTGTGCCCAGCAGACTCGCCTGATTCATATTCTCCACGTAGCTTGTGGGAAAGTGTCTGGAATGATTGAAGCTTATTAAATACCTGTTGTGGTCTTTAGAAATCACCAGGAAAATATCACATCTAGAACTACCACCAAATATTTCAATTTAGTATTTATAAATACAGGCTTCTTATCAAAATGGATTTTCTCTTCCTAGAGAGATAGTTAAGCCAGTATTCCTAATTCATATTCATCTTTCCTCGAAAATTAGTTGCTCTTAGGGCTTCCCTGGTGTCACAGTGGTTAAGAATCCGCCTGCCACCGCAGGGGACACGGGTTTGGGCCCCAGTCTGGGAAGATCCCACATGCCGCTGAGCAACTAAGCCCGTGTGCCACAACTACTGAGCCAGCACTCTAGAGCCCGGGAGCCACAACTACTGAGCCCACATGCTGCAGCTACTGAAACCCACGCACCTAGAGCCCGTGCTCCTTAACAAGAGAAGCCACCACAATAAGAAGCCTGTGCACTGCAACAAAGTGTAGCCCCAGCTCGCTGCAACTAGAGAAAGCTCGCGCGCAGCAGTGAAGACCCAGCACAGCCAAAAATAAATAAAAATAAAATAAATGAATTTATATTAAAAAAAAATTAGTTGCCCTTAATAAGCGGTGCTGATCAAGAGGGAAAGGACCTTGTATGTGGGCTAGCTCCTTCCTGCCCTTGCCACCTCTTGCCCAGGTCAGTGGAGAGCTGAGTGAGTGCTATGTTGCTAGGCAACTCTGAAAAGATTTATGAATCTTGTTAATTAATTAAAGAGCTCTGAAGGGCTCTTGGACAACATGGACGTATCCTGTCCAGCCAGGACAGGGGAAATACTTACAAACAACAGCAAGACACAGTGTGAAAACCAATCACAGAAGGAGCTTGATGGACACAGTTTACACAAGCAAGATTTCCTGCCATTTTTGACAACATGGATGGAATGTGAGGGCATTATGCGTAAGTCAGACAGAAAAAGATAAACACTGTATGATATCACTTAGATGTGGAATTTTAAAAAGCCGACCTTGTTAAAAACAGAGAGTAAGATGGTGGTTTCCAGCAGC